GAATGTTACGGGTTGGAAGAAGGGGTAAAGGGAGAGGGTTGGGAACGGAACACAAAGAGTTAAACAAAGGTTGGGATATCTGAGCAGTAGCCCACTTATCACCACCCACCTCGCTCGATGCAATGGGCAGCGCGGTCCTGATTATCCTGCGTGACGACCGATGCAGTATGGAATNCAGCCACTAAGCAGGAGAACGATTAGGGTTCTCGTCCAAAGCCTTTAGTTCTAACAAGAACCTAACCGCAAGGCAGCGGGTGAGGCGAAGTGGAGGCCGATTTACTTAGATCGATTGCTCCTCCACCGCTTTTTATCGAATGAAACGCCAATTCCAGGCGAACCCCCAATCTGGAAGACCAGGGGACTGAACTTCGTCTGACCTCTACCCATTGACCTTCCAGATATGATAAGATCTCCTGGCTTTATAAAGGCATCCTGTGTAGCTCGTTGGGTCATAGAGGTGCACAAGCCATCACACCAAGTCAAGGTGTAGTCCAGGGACACCCGTAACACATTTCCTCGAGCAACAGAGCCTATGGAGGTTGATCGGGATTCCCTAAAACCCACTTGAGTCGAACGCGAAGACGAATACTCTAAAGCGTGGTCAAGGATGCGGGCATTTCAAGCCACCCTACTCTTGAAACGAGTGATAATCGGTATTTGCAATATCTACTGCGATGACGAATTAGGTGCGACGTTTTGTTGTTTTATTCTGATGACCCACACCAAGAACTTAAGCCTGTAATAGAAAGTATACTGGAATCTGAGCATGTGCATATTCTTGGCACTAAAAGCAATCCCGACTCCGGGAATAACGCGAGTTCTATAATAGATGAGAAATCGTTCCACACACGGAAAGTGAAGCACGAGAATGAGGTAACGTACGGAGAACAGATATAACTGAAGTGGGGTACAGTATGGGCACACAACACAGCTAGTTGACTAGTGTAAGAGGATGCATAGCTGGTCACTATTTTACACTGAGGTAGAGGTGGGGTGCGAAACGTTTAAAGCAAAGTGTAAGTTGGTAGAGGAGTATACAGTAATAGGTAGCGAACAATCAAACACCAATGCCAATAACAACAACAATATCACGGATGCGACTATGCGAACACTTTCGAATAGGAGTCGCTTACCAGTTCGAGAGCCTCGACAAGCATATCTTGCTGGATTAACTTTTGCGCTTGTCGCGCTTGTTCCACTTTGAGCTTGGCCGGCGCAGACGGGTTCGGTGAAGGTGTAAAACCGAGTTTGGATTGAGATACGTCTGACGACGACTGTGCGGTCACCGTCTTTGGTTTTTTACTATGGACATTGTTATTAGTATTATCTGCAGTTGATTTGGATTGGCCTGCAGGCATATGTGGCTTCGTTGATGCGACAGACGATTCCAACGTGTTGATCGAACTAGACCCGGTCAAAGTCACACCACTCTCGGAATGCATTAGACCCTGTGGAGAGCGATATGAATGAATGGACGGATCAGTTTTAGTGCGAATTCTATATCCCCGATGATATGCAAATACTTCGATAGATAAAACAACAGCGAAACTGCAGCGCTTATCGGATTTCAATCGGAAACGGTCAATTTTCAAGCCCCAAATCCAAAACGCATTTTTAGCGCTGCAGATACACTCTGTAATTTAAAAAATTACCGATTATCAATACAAATGGTTAGGTGGTTTGATATTAGCAGTAGCAGCGAGGGTGAGATTTTGACACAGGTCTTTTAAGTGCCCTTATTTAGAAGGTCTTCGAGGTACTGACACATCTGTACATAACATCCCTTCTCCGAATTCGAGAGCCAAATGAGAACGTTTCCTATAGATGTTTTACTACTGATAAAGTATTCATTTATTCTCTCTCTTTGCTGAATACGATTCTTAAGAGATGTTAGCATTTTTTTCTTCCGTGCAGTACAGAAATGAAGAACCACTTCAAAATCAGGTTGAAGATTCACCGTTTGTAAATATGAGAATCGCGAGGCGGAAGATATTTACAGAGAGGGGAAAGCACTTCACAAATTATCTGTTTGGGCTGGTGTAAAGATACCGGTTCGTGTACTTGAATGATTCGTTGCAGAATCCGATTATACTGGGCCTTTGTTCCTTGATATTATATGGGCAGCTTATATGTCAACACTGTTACAATTCCAGGAGACAGATGCCTGTTCAAGAGACTTATTTATTCCGAAACAGAGTTAGGGTATGGATAATTTGACATAAATAAAATAAAATAACTAATTTTGAACATGTCATCACAATTCCCGGCAGAACGCAAGATAACGAATGGAACGTGCCGCAGCTATCATTTCGAAAACAGCAATTCGCAGCTTGTCCATTTTTAGCCGTTGAGGGAAACACCCAACCGCATCCTTTTGCGTGCTGCTCACAAATGTGCGTAGCACTTAACAAAACTAGCATATAATATAACAGGTTTATGGTTCAAGTGTGCATGTTCACCGGTCTCGCTGGATGTTGGGGACGTAGATGAGTCTATGTCTGTACAGGTCGGATATCAACGCTTTCAGTGCAGTTTGTGCAGTGTGTGTGTGTGTGAGAGAGAGGGGGGGAGAAAAAATTGTGAGTCCGACCACCACGCGTATCACTCACCTGAATTTCAGGAATGATTCGAGAAGCCACTGAGCTAGCCAGAGCATTTGCATCGAGAGTTGATTTTGTGCGTTGCTCGATTTCTTGCAAATCTAGTTTGGGCCAAAAATCGATATGAATTCGAGATCAGCAACAACAAAAAAAACAGGGTACATACATGAAAACAAATGCATATAAAAAATGAAAGAAATTTACGGTAGACAAAGCGAGTAAGAATAAACATTTCGACACTTTAATTACACGTCACCGAGTCCCACAATGCCAAACAATGGCATAGGCTTAATTGTCACCGAGGCTCAAGATGAGTTCTCGATTTGCTGAGTGACAGTCATTGGCCGAGCACTTGTTTCGTAATTCACACACTCGAACGGATAATATATGTCTGCGCTGCCCGTGGAATGTGTGCTTGTCCATCGATTAACCGCGACACATTCCGGATAACTGATTACACACACTCACTTTACATGCAACAAGTAGAAGCCGAATGAAGGGGGAGAAGGAATTTCTCAACAACCATAACTTAATGAAATTAGAACACTCCGGGAAGTTATTCGATAGGTTTCAAGTAAATCTACGGTAGACGTGCGATTTAAGTTACCTTGTTTGTATATCTGTGAAATTGGTGGGTGGCTGAAGACGGTGAAGTGACTTTACAGCTCACCGGGTGGAGTGCACATTGTACACACGCTTAAACGACATCAATGCATCAGTTCGAATCCCATCGAGGTGCCGGATCTATTCACGATTTGATCACAACAAAAACTGCCACCGTGCGATCAATGTACAGTTCACAAACTGAATACAAGCTAAAACCGCTGAGCGGCCCGTCCCGTCCTCCTCCCCCCATCCACAAAGCAGACATAGAGATAAATGTAAAATCGCCACTCTAAGAACAATCAAGGAAAATTTTACTTTCTAACACAACAGCTAAGGACCGAGAAAAATGCTCCTACGCCCCCTCCTCTCTCCCCGAAAAAATGGCCACCTTGCTATATCAAGGATGTTCAGTCCTGACACATTATTTCTGTTCGAAAGCGTTGATTAATGTGAAAAACAACAATGAGGTAAATGTTTGGTTAGCGAACTTCGTCGTGTAAGGAGCAAATGAGATGTTAACACTGAAAAGCTAGTGAGTGGTGCGAATAAATCAATCCTACTAGGGGTCGAATCCGAAACCTCAGTACCGGGCAACGAGGTAGAGTATTTTTTTCACTTCTCCGTTTGGCCGGGACTGTGAGAGAAGGCACGAGAAGCCGGAATGGAAAGCGTCGAACGCCATTGACTTCAACGAGCAGCATCTCGCTCCGTCCGGGGCCGATCATTAGAAATTCTAGATATGAGTGACCGAGAAAATGAAGAAATCATAACATACACTTCAAATGATTCCGACAAGCCCGAATCCGTTCTACGTGATGCAGCAGGTCAATTAGCCCTAAACAATAGATGAGCATAGTGTTTCGACCAACTTCTTAAAGATCATCGCCTTGTGATTTGTCTTGTCTGGACCCAGAACTTTTTATTACACACATTTTTGGATGATGAACAGTGGACGGAGTAAACCCCATAATCATGAGGACCTGCTGTTTAGTTATGGAAACCGGTAACCTAAGCCCCAGGACTTGAAGTGGCTGGCCACATAAGGCCCCGCTAGGTTAAGTATGGTATTGAACCGGATGACAGTAAAGCTGTCCACCAATAAGGTTGGGTGGTGGTAGCGGGGCTTGAACCTCAGACCATGAGGTCCAAAGCACGCCGGTGACAGCGACTGACCCACTGCGCCACCATCACCATAATAATAAAATAATAATGATGATGGTACACAATCGGTCCTTATTAGTTATGTGGACGAGAAAAAAATGAGTTTATCACTATGAGAAACGACTATAGGTGAAACAAACGGAAATTTCGTGTTTCGTCTGATTTTTTTCATCCCGGTATTTCCGCCGAGACAATCAGATACGACTAGGATTGACCTCCTCCCACCAATTACATCTAGTGATCACTCCATTCTGCGTATAAACTGGAGGCGTGGCGTTCCCCAAACGGACAGACCACAGGAGGGACGGAATGTGTGGCGCTCATCCTTTCCGGATATGCGTCAGACTGCACTGTTCACAAATTGGGATTCCCGGAACCCTGAGGATATGGATGTATTCTGGGAGTTGGTTCCTCATAGAATCCAGCAACCCGTACCAGAATTCTCTCCACCTCACCGTCACCGAACACACGCTATGGGCCCGCCGTGGTTTGACCGAGAACTGCGGACGTGCCTTCGGCAGCGGAATAAGGCCTGGTCCAGGTACCGTGCAACAGGTGCAGGATATGAGGAATATCGATGTATTCGGAATCATCGTACTGCACTAAAAAATGCAAGAGAACCAGATTCGAGGAACGACTAGCAGCGAATTCAGTACAAGCACCAAAGCGATTGTGTGCCTAACTTAGGCGAAGAATCAGAGCAACGCTTGGTCTCCCGACTCTCGCCAAAGATGGGGCACTAGCCGAAAAAGACGAGGACAAAGCAGAGATGCTGGCATCACATTATGTCTCAGTGTACACCCCAGCCTCTAGCACACTGGCACATCTACTGGACAATGACACTGCGCTGAACTGAACCACATTTGCAATCGGAAAGGTGACCCTGGAGCTGCGTCGACTAAAGGTTCACCAGTCACCTGGACCTGATGGTGTGCATCCGCTGATCCTGAGGTAGCTGGCAGATGAAATTGCAGCGCCACTGTGCAACCTGTTCAATTTGTCATTTACTCAAAGGCATTTACCGCGGCAATGCAAGGACGCTGTCATTGTTCCACTGCCCAAAGTTGGGGATAGGAGTGACCCTGGGAACTACCGACCAGTCAGCCTTACTAGCGTTGTGGGTGAAGTAATGGAGCGACTGGTGGCTGCACAGCTTCGACAGCCTTTGGTGTGCCACGGTCACCTGTGCCACCAACAACACGGTTTCCGGCTGTGTCGCTCATGCCTCTCAAACCTGCTACTTGCGCGTGAACGCTGGAGCTTGGACAAGGCCAAAGCACACGAAACGGACATAATCTTTGTGGGCTTCAGCAAGACCTTCGACAAGGTGCCACATGAACTCCTTCTGCGAAAGCTGTCCAACCTAGGTGTACATGTGGTCATGCGGAATTGGCTGCGAGACTTCCTCATCGATCGGAAATTCTGCGTCCGTGTTGGCAAATCGCTCTCTGCGTGGTATTCCGCTCCCAGTGGGGTTCCTCAAGGCTCGGTTCTTGGTCCATTGCTCTTTGTGGTTTATGTTAACGACCTGCTCGGTCAACTGTGCAGTCCATCCCCCATGTATGTGGATGACATCAAAATCTGGCGTACAATCAAGGTTCCGAACAATCGAAGTTATCTTCAAGCGGATCTGAACAACCTGGCTCAGTGGGCGTACACTTNGGGGGGGGGGGTGTGCTGACTCAGAGGTAGTCTACAACTTCCAGGGAACCACATTGCGCAGAACATCGTGCGAACGAGACCTGAGTGTTGTGGTTACATCATCACTAAAGACCCGAGAAAACACCGATCGGGTCTG